CGAAATCCTGAAACCCTAAACCCAAACCCCAGCCCTAACATAGGGACCCAGGGCTTTGTCGTATCATGTACAGTAGGAGTAGTAGTAGTAGTAGTAGTAGTAGTAGTAGCAGTAGGAGTAGCAGTAGTAGTAGCAGTAGCAGTAGTAGTAGTAGTAGTAGTAGTAGTAGTAGTAGTAGTAGTGGTCGTAGTAGGTAGTAGTAGATAGTAGTGGGTGTAGGTGTAGGTGTAGGTGCAGGTGTTGGTGTAGGTGTAGTGGTAGGTAAAGATGCAGGTTTAGTGGTAGTGATAGTGGCAGTAGCAACAAGCAGAAGGCGGGCGCAACAGCACACGGTACCTGAAAGCGTGACAATGTTTCCATTCAGGGGGTTGGCCACGCTACTCACTGGTAAGCATTAACAAGACTTGTTGGACCCTGGTGAAATGTTCAGCTTCGTCGTCCTCCGCGTCCTAATCCGGATTTAGGGGCCAATGCATGGAGCCCTGATAGAGCCTGAGGGCTCGAGCAGCTCCTGTCGGTCGAGCACAGAAATGTGGATCGGCAGTGCCAGGTACTTGCCCACCGATTTTACTAACCGCTGCAATGTTGGCTACTGCTTCTGCAACTTTCGCACGGTGAGTGCAAGGCCCTGTCCGATCTCGTTGCCTTGCTTGCGCACGAAGCAGTATTGAACGCCTGGCGAGACGATCCTTGCAAGGCAGAGATTTCAGCAAATGTTTGACGGCAAGCCGGCGCAGTGCAGTCCTGAGACCACAGAGAGTGTCTGAAGCGTTGTATTTGCCGGCGTGCCAATGTTTGATGCCGAGGACTTGCCTGCCTGGCTTCAACAGCTACAAGGCTCGTGGTTGGTGGAGGATGTGGAACTCCTTTGAAATTGCGTTGGACAGACCCGCAGACCCGCAAATCTTCGCAGGTATGCCAAGTCACTCGAGCAAAGTGGCAGGGTCGTGCCGAAAACGTCAAACGATTGAAGAGCAGTCCAGAGCTGATGCTGCAGCTGGCTGCGCATCCGGTGCTTGGCTGCAAAAGCTTGACGGTCAGCACAATTTCTGCACCACCACCACCACCGCCGCCACCACCACCACCACCACCACCACCACCACCACCGCCACCACCACCACCAGCGGCAGCAGCAGCAGCAGCAGCAGCACCACCACCACCACCATGCCACTGCAACCGCTTGAGGGATTATTGCCAAGTGGCCAATTCAACCCAAGCCGCCCGGCCCGGAGTGTTGAACCGGAGCCCCGATGACAAAAGCGGTATGTGGACGGGCAAAGACGGCGAGAGGGACCGGTTCCGAAGGCCGGAGAGCACCCCAGATCGACACTCACTCACTCACTCACTCACTCACTCACTCACTCACTCACTCACACCTCCACCGCCACTACCGTCAGCACCGTCCGGTCGTTGTTGTGCACTGTAGGGTTGCTGCCGTGCTAGTCGTCGCTGTCAACGTCCTTCTCATCGTCACCATCACCATCAGCATCCTCAGCCGTCAGCATCTCACCAGCAGGCGCAAGGGCATCCGCAGCAGCGTCATCAGCATCTTGACCATCCTCTCAGATCATGATGAGCCTCTGCAGCTGTTTTGGCTAAGGAGTGGCTTCCTGTTCTCATGAATGCGAATGGTGAGAAGGAAACGTTCCCCTTAGATGACGAAGCCTCCACAGCAGCTCGCCTGGCAAAGACCAGAGCCTCATACAGAAGGCCCGGTCAACCGAATGTGTGCTTCTATGCTGAGGCCGGACAGTCTGCGAAGCAGCGGAAGAAGCGTGCACAAGCATCTGACAAACCGGCGGTCAGCGCCCCCAGATTCCAGCTCTGGACCGGGTTGCGAATGGCAGCTTCACTGAGGCCCCTATGCCAGGATTTCCGTTTCAAGGAGACGCGTCGTGTGTCCCATGCTGGTGCCTGCCATTGCTTCAGCCTGGCAGTTCCTTTCAGCGCATTCCCGCAGCCAGAGGCAAGCTTTCGGAAAACTCGCACGCATTCTCTTGCAGAAGCTGCAACTGGTTGCTCCAGGGCATGACAGTCTGGCAACAGATGGCGCTCGCTTCAGGAACTCCTTGAGACTCCCGACCCCATCTGAAGCTTGGCCTTCCGAGGCGGGGCTGAATTTGGCCGGCACAGAGACCGGAGGCAGTGGAGCTAATCACGAGCCGAGAACGGATCGCATGAGAGTTGCATGGAGAGGTGGGAGAGGGAATGGGAGAGGTCGCGGCAAGGTGGTGCTCTCGGTTGTGTTCAAAAAGAGCGCTTGCTATCATGTCATGCGGGTAGGATATGTAAACTCGATTCGGTGTCCAAGCATGGCCTTCGGGCAAAGGCTGGCAGCAAAGGTCCAGCTCTAAGATGGGAGATGACGGAAGTTGGCCCGGCATGTCGACCGACACCCTCGCTAGGAAAAGGACGGGGTCCTGGGAACGCAAAGTCGGTGCAGCCCTCACACTGAAAAACATAGGAGCTGTGTAGGAAAACAGACTGCGAGCTGAGGTTTCTGCAGATGTCTCGCAAGCCCAGATGGCAAAGGCGCTCAAGATGCTTGGAAGAAGCTTGTGCCTTCACATGCCAAGAGGCTTATGGAATGGCTGGCATGCCGATGCCCATGCCCATGATGGGAGCCTTTCCGCCGATGGTCTTTGACCCAAGCATGCTGCCCGGAGCTTTGCTACTGATGTGCAACGGGCTTTAAACCGTGCGGTGGATAATGAGCATGATGTCTGTGAGCTCAGGGCCATGCAGGGCTTGGAGGGCTATGATGCCGTGGGCTAAGTACTTTTGAAGCCTGATCGCAGGCTTGCTGGCACTGTCGCCGCAGGCAAATGCCTATTTGATGAACAACTTCTATCCAATGATGAGAGCTTTCCATGTTTACCTGACCTCAAGAAGCTGCCGCTGGAATGGATCCGAGCTTTGCGCGCGGCATGGCAGGCAAATGGATGCGTATGCCAACTTGGCGGCCAGTACTCAAGCCTTGGCAGGCTACGCGCAGTCTCCTCAGACATGACACTGGCAACAGAGGGGGCATTTGTGATATATTTGGATGAGCGGGCGGGCCGATGTTTCGAATTCGGGCTCGCAGCGGATTGGTGACAGGAGTTCTGTTTGAGTCGAATCTCCACGTGTTCGAGGCCGGATGCTTTGGCTGGCTGGAGTGAAGCTTTGTGCGACCCTCGTTCACATCGTTTCTGCACCTACCGTGTTTCGAACGCGCTTAGCTTAGCTTAGATGTTCTGCTGAGGCAAACCGGCATGCCAGATCAGGAGCTACTTCTGAATGTCAAACTTCTCGCCGGAACTAGGATTTGATTCGAGAGTTATGTTGTCTTTCTGGGCTTTGGCTCAGAGCACAGCGCAAGCAAAGACGAAAGCACATGGCAGATTATGTCTTCTGTCCAAAGTTGACAGGAGGAGGAAGAAGACGATTGATCCACATCGACTCACATCGATTTCATGAGTCTGACAGATGCGAGGCTGGGTGCATGCCCTCAGCCGATTCATGTCGCAAAACTTGTTTCTGCAGGCCGGCTGGATGGAGTGTCGTAGACCTGCAGGGCTGGCAGGTTGAGATGCTCCAATATTCATTGGGTTATCTTGGAGCAAAGCTTGAAAAGCTTGAAACCACAGCCAGTCCTGCAGCAATAGGAAAAGCGTTTGAAGTTTCGGTGCAGCGTATTCGCTCCCAACAGATGCCCCGTTGGCAGCTAAAGCTTGCTGTCAGGGGTGCGGGGTCATCGTGGCTGTTTCCATTTCCGCGTCTTGCGTTCCAAACTTGGGATGCGTTTACCAGCCGGACAGTAGTGTTTTGTCTGAAGCTCGTGTTCCGCCAGTGTGCATGACAGAAATGACTGAAGTCCGCCCGTCTCTACTGTGATTAGCCTGTGAGGCCGTTTTGTTTTCTGGCCGCATGCGTTTCCTGACAGGTGCTGAAGCATGGGACTGCCGTGCGTCGAGTTGCCGAGGAGGTGTCCAACGGTAGTGTCCGAGTCTAGCTCCGACGCGACGATCCTCGGTTCTGGGAGTGCCAACAGGAGCTCGTTGTGCTGGGAGATGCAGCTTTGCAACGATCACCCGGACGTTGGCCGTGCGCAGACCTGATAACCCAGCTGCTGCCTTTGTTTGGTTGCTCGAGTCTTTGGAGAGGGGATGCGTTTGCTCAATGGGTTAATTTCTGTTCAATCTGCTGCACTTGCGAAAACAATCAAGAAATTGCATGGGGACTGAATGCTGAACAGGTACTTCGAGGTTCAGTTGGACAAATGCGGCGAGGCTCAACCAGTCGGATGCACTAGCAATAGCGCTAGCTCCCGCATGTTTTGTGGAGAGATGCAAATCGCCTCGGCACCTTGGCAGGGCATAGGTGACAGTGTCAACGACTTTGGTTTTGGAGTCACAGCCTGTGACCCTCAGGACAGTCCCGGAGCAGTTGGGTGATCCTGTATGAAAGCTGTAATTAAATGCATCAGCGGGACCCCACGTGTGTTGGACACCCAACAACCTCCTGCTTCTCGAGGAGATTGAAGAGTTGGGGTCTGTCGCTGACGAGGCCGCTGTAAGCCGGCTCCCGTATGCATTGTCTGATGGGTGTTAAGCTCAGGTTCCGCGATCCTGGGTCGTAGATTTCACCCAGTCCATGGCGCGGACCTCAGCGGATGAGCTATGATGCCAGAAGCATCCCAGAGAGAGGTTGCGTTTTCGCGATAACCGGGTTCCACCAGGTCTGCCTCAGCATCAACAACCATGAGGCCGTGTCGTATTTGCGCTCGAGCAGTTATCATACTGTTGAGTTGTTGAGTGAGCAATGCAAGATACGAGGCTGCACAGGGGAAGCGCCTCTCAGCGGCGGCTTTGAAGCAGGTACCGCTGCCTCGTGAAGTGTGTGTGTTGAAACAGAGATGCTTTGATGCTCTGTCAGGGGAGTTGTGTTGGAATGCTGGTAAAACCGATGTCGATTGAGGCCTGCAGTTCGGGATAGACTTTCCTGCCCTTCAGCTTCCTTTGTATTGTGTCAGATCTACATCGATGGTGTGCTGCAAGAAAGCCTGCCCATGGAGGATCTGCTGGAAGACTTGCGCAGTGTTAGTCTTGCCCTGCTGAACTCATTGACACTGTTTGGGTAGGAGCGGGTGCCGGACAACATCAGTCTCTTCCCCGTGCTTGACTTGCCGGATGCTTGGAATGCTTGTGCTCTGATTTTTGTGCTGCTCCGATCAATAGATGATTATTCTAAAGGATCCATTGCCACCAGTGTTGGTCACTGGAAGGTTTTTCAAGAGCAGATAGGAAAAGCAGACAGCTGCTGCAGAACAGGTATGGCCGGACGATTGAAATCTCGAAAACCGATGCTGAGGAGCAGTCAGCCAGAAATTGTTGATTGCAAGTTCTTGTTTGCTAGGCTTGCAAGGATGTTCCGCGAATCTGTAGGACCATCTGCAGGGTCCTTTTCTGTAGCCTGGGTCCGTATGTCTACACTGACGCTCTCCTGCCATTGTCTTTGACTTGAATCTTCTAGGGCCGACAAAAGTCCCTAAACCCTAAACCCCTAAACCCTAAACCCCCTAAACCTAAACCCCTAAACCTAAACCGAGGGTTTCTCTGCTTTTGCTGTGGTCGGAGGAGCCCCGGAAGCCTCGGAAGGAGAGCCCTCGAGCAGCTTGAAAATCCCAATGACGTTGAAAGGTCGCATGCGTTTAGGGCATTGGGTTTAGGGTTTAGGGTTTAGGCAGGGGTTTAGGGTTTAGGGTTTAGGAGTAATGGCATCACATGGTTCTGTGTAATTCCACCTTTCGAGTTAGATGTTAGAGTGTTAGCGCTGCCCAGTCGTGTACGACCTATATCCTGACTGCAGCACTTGCCTGCATTGCATGCTTTTCGATGTGGCTTTACAGGCCGTTTGGAAGTCATTTAACAGCTTTGAAGGTGCCAAGCTCCTGCTGCATTAAATTTGTTCCCATGAGAGGTGAGGTGCACATCAGCTCAATGTCTGTAGTGCTTCAGGCCTAGTCTTACTTCCGCTGAGACGTCGGGCTGGTGTTGGGTAATTGGACAACGTGTAGTTGAAGGACTGGGCCCAGCAGTACCTGCAGCCATAGTCCCTACGGTCTTACACAAATATTCCGGTCCAGTCTTGGATTTGCACAGTTTGTATGCAGCATGATTTGTAGTGGCGAACACCTGTTATCTTCGGACACATGCGGCGTGCATGTTTTTTGTGCACCTGCCGTGGCGAAGAGTCAACATCCCAACGCAGCCTGAACATTGTTTCGAATCCTGTGGATGTGAGCTGTTGGAGTGCGAAGGCTGTTCCAGAGCCAACAGCCCATGTTTCCGTTCCAGCAGCGCCAAATTGAAGGAATGGTGATTGGTGTCGTCGATGAGCATCTAGTGGACACGGACTCTGCAGGATCTTGGAACTCCTCTTTTGCAGATGCTGTCATTGGTGACATTGCGCACGGGACATGCGACAGCAGCTGTTGGATGAAGTTCCCCAGCTGCACGATGGAGTTCAACCGGCTCACCGGTCTAGTCGTGTATCCGAGAACAGGTCTCAAACTCAGATCCAGCAACGATATCCCAGCGAGGGCCAAACTAGGCTAAAAGCCGGTGGGTGCAGGGCAGCCATCGGTGCTGCCATTGTTTAAACTCACACACGGAAAACCACAAAGCAATGCCGTGGAGGAGAGATCGCGACCGTGCACGACAGACTTTGAAAGGTGTAGCAATCGTTGCTGGAGTCTGTCTTGAAGGAATTTCCGAGAATGTCGTCAGACGAACCTTGCCGCAGATTTGGCCCAAGAGGGAGAAGCTATCCAAAATGGGAATGCCAGACCAGGCTTGACCAGAGAGTTGAATACATTCCTGTCATCCCAGGCAACAAGAGCGCACGCTATAGACAGACCGGTAAAAGACGAAGTAGTTTTGACTGAATTAGGGTGATCGGGATCAAAAACATGATTAAGATGGAATTTCAAGCAGGTACGACGAGTAAAAACATCAGCAACACTGTTCGTACTGCCTATAAGAACTGTAGCAAAAACAGGATGGACGGTGCCAGTAGCATTCTGGTAGCACTGCTGACGGTTGCAGTAACACTATGAATTCAGGTAGGACTGCCGGGAAAGTGAACCAGTAGCCACAATTTTCAGAGACTGCATCGTGCGTAACACGCTGTGAGCCGTAACCTGCTAGGTGCGAGTCGCTCTTCGAACGCATGTCTAGAAGTTTTTGTTGACAGTGGCACCACGAGCATGCCTTTTACTACGACTACGACTGGTATCTAGCTGATTTGGGACAGAGGACCTTTCAGGTGCCGAGATCCGCTGGCTCGTGGAAGTCTTGTCTTTGAAGCATCCGCTGCAGTTTCTTGTGAGGGGTCAGTCAATCATTCCATATGATTGCACCTTGATCCTACACCCCACACCCCAACAGTCCTAGGTCCGAAAGCAGAAGTCGTCGTGGTAGTGGTGGTCGTGGTAGTGATGGTGGCAGTGGCGGTGGCGCTGGCGGTGGCGGAAGCGGAGGCGGTGGTGATGATAGTGGTGGTCGCAGCCGTAGCAGTAGCGGCAGTAGTAGTAGCAGCAGCAGCAGCAGTAGCAGCAGCAGCAGCAGCAACAGCAGCACAAGCAGCAGCAGCACAAGCAGCAGCAGCAGCAGCAGTGGCGGTGGCATTGGTAGCGGCAGCGGCAGGAGTGGGAGCAGGAGCGGAGCGTGAGCAGGAGCGGTAGCCGAAGCAGTAGCAGTAGTCGTCGTCGTCGTCGTCGTCGTGGTCGTGGTCGTAGGTCGTAAGTCGTAGGCTGTAGGTCGTAGGTCGCGTAGTCGTCGTCGTCGTCGTGGTAGTAGCAGTAGTAGTAGTAGTAGTAGTAGTAGTAGTAGTAGTAGCAGTAGTAGCAGTATTAGTAGCAGTAGCCGGAGGAGGAGGAGTAGTAGTAGTAGTGGTAGTGGTGGTAGTGGTAGACATAGTCGTAGCTGTAAAAGTAGTAGTCGTCGTGGTGGTGGTGATGGCGGCCGGTTATTCGCAGCGCTCCCGTGGCCCAACACATCTGTTGCCGCTTCTGTGGTTTCCAGGCGCGCGAAGATCGCTCGCGCTCTCCGCCGGCTGCTGCAAAGCATGGCGGTGGGAACATGCACATGCCAGACAAAGCAATGTCATGACTTGTCTGGAAGCAGCAGGTGCTGTTAAACTGTGCAGGTAGGTTTCATTTAATTTACACTCCGTGCTGCAGTGGGTTGACAATTTGTCATCGCCGCAAGGCAGGCTGAGCGTTTCGCCTCTGACCGGGCGATTTGGGGCGTTGGTTGAAACGCCGCTTACTGCAGAAAGGCAGCGCGTGCACCATCTGTCAGTGGTTCTGCACGGGCTTCTCTTCCCCGCCCCGGTAAAGAACTGCATGGAAGTCAACAAAGCCTCGTCTAAGCATGGGCATAGTTTCCATCTGGGTAGTTGTCAAAATTATGGTCCCCTTTGGGGTCCCCTAAATAATAGGTGCCGTATTATAATAAGGACCCAAAAAGGGACCCTAATTTAGAGAACTACCCATCTCGAATCCCGACATCTGCAACCCAGACCAGTGGAGGATTCTCTCAGATCCTGGCATTGGAGAGGAGCTGCTTCGAGCTTGGCAGGCATCACTCCGCTTCTGCAAATTTTGGCAGACCTTGCACGCGGTGCTCGCCAGGGCTTTGGGGGGCTGCTCGTGCTTCGAGGTGCGGAGCATTTTCCGACAGCTTTGGGTCGTAGGAAACCGACATTCGGCCTCCCGAAGCGAAGCATCTGCAGGCTTGAAGGACCTGCAACCTTCTCAATTTGTGGGCATCAGCGCCTTATTCGGAGAGGCTCCAGCTAGTGTGACTGGCAGATGGGTACTCATTGCAACTCGTGCATTCTAGGTTGAGGACGAGCTCGATGACAGCAAGAAAAGGCAAGCAGTGGGCCACTTTCGTCAAGCTCAACTTTGCACCAAGCATTTCCTTGTTTGCTTCTTCCAGGTTCGCTGTGCACGGCGAAACCAAGGTGATCACCTCGGCCTCGGTTGCCAATGTACTCATGTCGGCCATGCCACTCTCTTGATCGAGGTCATGCGCATTGGCAACACGCGCGATCCAGAAACGAAGATGGCCACATCTCTGAATGCCAATGATCCTCCGCTGCCGGAAGGCGCACATCGGGGCTCCAAGTCGGCTTTCCTGAAGGTGTTCTTCGATAGCCGATCCGTTTTCAGGAGGCTCTCATCAATACCGTCTGGACGATCGCAGACCTTTTTGGCACACTGCGCCTTCTCGGCAAACACTGGGACGGTTTCGTCTTTCATGCAGATGTCTGCACTTTGCTGAGGACTCTGTGTACAGGAAAGAGCCACCAATCGGCTCCCTGCTCTACTGCAAGCCGCGGCCCAAGGGGCCCGAGGAAACCCACAGGCCGGAGTCCGAAGTTGTCCTCGCCGCAGGCGGCAGCCCCCCTCCGGCGGAGCTACCTGCTTCGCCGACGCCTCGGCCGCTTACGAGGCGGGGTGCGTCTCCTCTTGGATCCTCTTGGCGCAGCTTAGGAGCACCGTGAGTGACTAGAGGCTCTTGAGGCCAAGCTCAAAGAGAAGCTGAAGACTTTGGAGCGCCGGCCTGAGCGGAGACTGCACGCGCACACCGCGCTTCAATCTCTGCTGAGATTAGGCGTCGTTCTTCTTTTGAACCATTTTCAGGTGCATCTGCTCGCAGGCACATCATGATGCAAAGGCCACCCTTCCGTGCTTCCAGGGATCTCCCAGATCGCTTGTTGGTTCGAAGACGGACCAACGTAACATTTGCCGAGTATTACCGCAACTAGCAGGCGCACGGATTCAAGGGAAGGGATGGTCGTTGGGAGAGTGATAGCCTATTGGGAATCGGCGGCGAGCGGTCACATCGCTCAAACTCAGATTTAGATTGATGCATCCGTGCGAAACGGCTGCTTCCGTGAATCAGAGAGGAACTCTGCAATCGAGCCTGAGATTTTAAGGTCCAAGGTTATTACTAGTTACTCCTGCAGACAACGATTGTGTTTTTTTTGTGTCGCTGTGCCCACATAGATAAAGACCATGTCGACCATCGCAGATTCATCGCACTTCGCCGGACTTCCCGAAACTTGGATATGCAGGATACTTCTTGTTCGAACACGATGATGACGACACACAAACAACTTCTCAGGACACTCACCCCGGAGCAGCGCGCAGCTAGCCCCGCTCAGAGAGTGCCGCAGCGACCTCATCTGAAGTACTCCCCCTGAATTCTCTCTTGCTAGGCACTGTTTGGTATGGTAGTGCAGGGTAACACGGAGTGTGAGGATGAGACGACGTAGGATTCGAACCACCAGATCAGCGGATGTCTTCAGCTAGTTACTATGACAATGTGTTCGGATATGCAGACAGCTGTTGACACAAATAGAGGATGCTGAGCTGGGTTCCCATGCACCACTCCTGCTCTTTTGTGTAAGGATGGTTTTGCACCACCCGCTAACCGGGCGCCCTTCACTGTATGGATTCAACGGCGGCACCTGCAGAATCCTCCCCAAAGAGGCGGGGGTACCCTTGGCAAACATGAAGCTGCTCAGAGCCCTGAAAGGTAGAGGTCACAGCTGAGGAGCTGGACCACTACGAGCTAGAGGCCGAGGAGCACAACTCCGTGCAGGACCAGACTTCGTGCTTTCAAGGGATGTCTGCTGGGAACTTGAGCCGCTTGTCCCTTCAGGAGCAGTGGCGATCCTTACTTCCCTTCGTGACATCTCCTCAATTTACGATCAAATGGGAGCGCTTTCTGTGATGCATCGCATCAGGGTCCACGTCTCAGAGCTTGCTTGCCGCTATCTTTTATCTTTTAGAGGAGTGGACTCCGGGAGACCTGGTGCTCTGGGACAATCGCTGCACGATGCACTGCGCGACAGGTGCCCTGCTCCACCCAAGCAGTTTCTCCGAGCTAGTGGTGCGTGGTACTGACAGAAGATCCAGCTTGAACCCAAGTGAAGAATTTCCGCCAACGCGCCTTGCACAATTCGATATGGTGCTGTCGTAGTAGAGAAGGGACAGGTATGTCCGAAATTCGGGCAGCCTGCCTTGATAACGATTACATGAGGGCATCGACTGTGCAAATGCATCTGCCCGCCGCCGCACTTTTTGGCTTTGGTGCTAGTCGTTGAGTGCTCAATGCTTGTACAGAAGCTCTTTCCAATCTTGGTTGTGCAGATCTGCTCCGTCTGCCGAGCCTTTCGGCACGCGGAGCACAACGGGCACACCGTGCAGCATGCGCAGCTGTCGCAGCAGCGTTCAGGTGTCTGTGCCACAGCTGCGGCCGGCGAAAGGCCAAATTCTTTCGTTCTCGACTACAAGGATGCCCGCCATGTGGACGCAATGCAGCTATGGTCTTTGAAGACGTCCGCCACCTGTGAAGGCCTGGAGGCATGCAAGGTGGCGGTGACTCCAGACATTGACTCGGCCTTGCCATCGAAAAAATCACGCATGCTGATCAATGTCTATGCAAATTGCTCGCTTCATGGCGGCGAGCTCTTTCTGTGCCCTTCACATGGAGGGGCCTCCTGTGTTGTCCGAGACCCAGCTGCGACATGAACTTGATGTCGAGGCTTGTGAGACGCTTCACCGCAGCTCGCTGCAGCTTTGGGATTCCGAGGCTTCTGTTCGCCTGGCCAGGCGATATTTCCGGCCACGAGTCTTGTTCAGCTTCATGTTTGATTCGACCAGGACCTGCGTCTTCAAGCTTGGAGCCCCTCTTTGAATGCATAGAGTCCTTTTCGTCCCTTGATCGCAGGATGCAGGTGCTTGACAACCGGCGTCTCTTCACTGATGAAGTTCTCGAGATTCTGCTCCTCACCGAGCTGGTGGCCACGGCAGGCAGTTGGGGGGAAGTTGTGCAGTTTTTTGAGGGCTGTGGATAGTCGCCTGATGTCGCCTGTGTTCTGTCCTGGAGGCGCACTTCTCTGGTTTGCTTTCGAATTCATGTCTTCCTCCAACGCGAGCCGGGAGGCGAAGAGTCCTAGCCCTGATTCGAAGCTTCGGATACCGACGGCCTTCGACATAATGTTGGAAGGACTTTTGGACGCCTTGTGTTTCATATTCGGCTGTGTGCTTTGGCTGCTGGCATCTTCGCAGTTCTTGCACAAGTACGGGTCTGAAAGTCGCGAAGTCGACTCTATCATCCTTTGCGTGCCCGTCATCTTCGGTCCAGCAGCTCTTCTTCGGATCTTCCTGTCCATGATTCGAAGGCAGCTTTATCATGCCCTGTTTCGGCATGGGGTGTTGCTGAAGCTCGAGCAGACGCCTCTTTCCCGTGATATCTTGCTGATATGGTCCGGTTTGGGCTTGGTCCTGGCAATTTCTGCTGTACTGCGTGGGCTATTTCTGGCAGTGCAGACTGGACACACAAGCCTTGATGTGATTGTGACACAGCTGTTGGTGTTTATATCGCCTCTCTACACGATTGTCTCAGCCGTGCTGTACTCCCTGGACATGGAGTCTGCATGTTTGAAACGCAAGTGCGTGATAGAGTTGGAAAATGTGGGCGAAAGGTTGTCAGTAAGCACAGATCGTGAGGTCACAGTCCTGTCAGAGCATGAACTCTGTGCAGCTGCCAGCACGGTGACGTCTGCATCGGACTTTGTGAACCTCAGTGGAAACGGGCCTGCGGCAGAAGGCTGTGGCCTTCGCCTCTCCACATGGGACATGAGGTGGGCAAGTCGCCTTGTTAGCCAAACCTGCCGAGAACATCGGATGGCGCTATTACTGTTTATGCCGGTGCTTGCAATCTGCATCTTGGCCCTCAACCTGACCTCAACGCTGCTTTGTATTAAGCACCGCAGTGATATGCCGCAGCTCTCCTCTTTGCAGTCAACAATTGGGGAGTTAACGCCCCCACTATCTCCTGAGATTCGGGAACACGCACTTTATGTCGACATCATGCGCCGAGCGCTCTCCATTGAGGCTGGCATGGACGATTCTCAGACGACATCTTTGGAGGTGTCGATCGAAGGAGATGCAAGTCCACCGCAGGAGTCTCGATTTCAGCTGGACAGCTTGAAGCTGGACCGCAAGGCTGTAAGTCAATTCCGTAATGTGAGATGTTTCGAGGATAAGCGGGCTTGGCTGCTTATCTGTTTAGCACCATACTGCCCGCCCGCTGAAATATAAGTGGTCGGAACTGGCAAGCACCATAATTGGAGTACGTAGGATGATTAGGATGCACGGTTTAGGACAAGAGGGATATGACAGATGGCAGTGACAAAGAAGCAAACTTGAAGCAACATGTGACAGCGACTTGCAACGTTTCTGCTATCGTTCTTACTACAACTGAGGCGCTCTACCAAAGTTAGACTTCACCGTGATGGTGCTGCCTACCCCACGACCATTGCGATCAAGGCGACGACTCGCATAGAGGCACGCAAGAGCCATAATTCTTAGCATTCAAGACTGGACCGTTTCAATTCTTGAGCTTCTAAGCAGTCAGACGTCAGTTTCCGTCACCGGCTAAAGACCGTTTTCCCTTTTTCCTCTCTGCGGTTAAACTTGTCGGTCTTTCGTTTTGCAGGCAGAGAAATACCGACTTCAGATCGTGCAAATTACGACGGTTCTCCGCACCTTGGTGCTGACTGGTGAGACATCCAATGGCATGAAGTACAGGCGCTGCGTTTTCGGGAATTGGTTATCACACGGCCATCTTGCACTACCGCAACACCTTCAAAGCCTCCGGATCGAAATCACGTATTCGAACGTTCCCTACGGAATCCCGTTCAGTTCTGCCCAGGCAGACAGGTTCTCGACCGTGTACGTACCGATGAACATACCGATGAATCCAGGGGACTGTGAGCGATACTGTCTACAGGAGAGCAGATGCTTCGAGTCCAGGATTTCCAGCACGAGAGGCTGCTTCTTCATTTTTGGGCCCAGCGATTTGACATGTGAGCAACTGCATGTGCAAGATGACAGGGGTCAGCAGGCGCCTTTCCCGCTTCATCTCCTGGCGGAGCTGTGCTCTAAAGGTCGTACTGCGTGCACCTCGTTGGGGCGCGGTTCGCCACAACACTTGCTGCTGGACTTGCTGAAGGACAACTTCTCAAATAGCACTGCGTCCCTGAAGACCTACATTAACTCCAGCGGGTCCGTATTCCCGTTGAAACAGAATGACATAGCATTCCATCTCGGCACTCCGCCCCTCAAGACTGTGCTTGTTGAGGCCCGGCAGGATGAGATGAAAGTTTCGGTGAAAACTCGAAAGATCGACTCTGGCTTTCGCTTCGAGGTGGTGTTGATCTACGATCCAACCCGCACAGCTTCTCCGTGGAACAACAGCTCTTTAAACGTAAGCCTGGCAGGCATTCCCGAAGATTCGAGTTTTTTGTTGCAATGGGAAGGTGGGGAGACGGCGGTGTCCTCGGCAGAGCAAGCTCCGTTTCGGGTTGGGCAGTGCGATGATGGCTTCTCCCTTCACCATTACAGGGTTTGTGGGGGCCATTTTGACTCGCCAGTCACGACAATCAGAGTTGATCCATGGGCCCCAACCCAGTCTGTCTACGGGTTATTGAATTCCACTGCACCGTGGTTGAACCAGGCACAGACTGTGGAGGTGCGGCTTACAACTCCAGACAATTTGGAGCCAATGCAGTCCTTGATCCGAAATTCCTGCAACATACCCGTTTGTTTGGGTGGCTTCAATGAATGCGTATCTCGTTGGCATTGCAACAAGAAGAGCTCATGTTTCCACGCCTGTAGCCAAGAAGCGCGTCGCAACTGCAGCAGAGAGCGCGAGACTGGGTCTCAGTTCGTTGCTGTCATCTCGCCGAAGTTCGGGACAGGCTTGGTGAACTCATACAAGAAGCCCTTCGTCTGCAAGTGGTAGGTTTGGCTTGGAAGCTCAGATCACTAGGTTATCACGTGTGCGAAGGTGGGTTTATGCTTTTTTCTTGGGGCTCGGGGAATTGCCCTAGTGGCTTTCGGAGGTTTGCAGTGGCAGGCCCGCGAGCCGCGGCCGCAACAGGCATCTAGGATATCTGGGGCTCTAGGCCGAGGGCTGAGCCAAGGCGTTTCTGGATTCAAGTAGGGACAGCTCAGGTTAGGTCTCACTGCAATTGCGGAGCCCGAGCCTGGGATGGAGAAGCACTTCACACGCGAGGCAGAAGCCTCCGCTTCGCGTTAACAGTAGGGCAAGGACAGGGGGGCTTTGATTTTCTTTTCATCAATGCGCAGTTCCGTCAGGTGATCAAGGATGTCGCTGCTCACTGTGGGATCAAGTCTGGGATGCTGCACCTCGTGTTCCACAGACTCCGGTCGCTTCAGCAAAGTCCACAGAAAGCGAGAGCCATGCAGCTTTTCCAGCGTCTGTCACAGAACCCGGACTTTCGGGAAAAACAGCGGGTGTTGAAAAGCCCACTCCTAGCTCCGGTTAAAGATATCTTACCGACGTCATGGATGTCTTTGAAGGAAGTGGTGCTTTACTCTCCGGAATTTGCTCAGCTGCAATATACCTTGTGCCTGAATGCTCCCATGCCCAGTGACGCAGGGAGTATCTTGTCGGCTCTGTTGGACAAAATTGCCGCTGCTGACGATTCGAAAGAGTACGCCGCCAGTTCTCGCTGGGAACACACCCTTTCTTCCCTCATCCAGTGCATGCAGGACAAAAAGAAGACTCCGTTTCCACCCTCTTCTTGCAGGAGCGATATGGGAAACATGGACCAACCCTCTCTTTTCCATAAGGCATCAACGCCTTCTGCGTTCGAGCTCCTGCTGCCACTGTGTGACACCTCCAAGGCTATGGACGCCACTCAGAGCTCAGTGCTCCACCTGGCGGCTCAGAAGAACTGGTCAGAAAGCTTGAAAGCGGTGCTGAAAAGGCCCGGAAAGTTCATCCCTGATATTAACGGTCGACGGACTGAAACACTCTCACCACCTGAAGCGCAATATGAATGGGTGGTGATCGAGAACCTGACGCCCCTGCATGCCGCGGTCCGCTCGCGGTGTTATGGTTGCACCGAGGACTTGCTACATGCTGGTGCTGCCGTGAATCTGACTGTTGATATTGTCGCAACTGCAGGTGTCAGCTACGTACCAACGGGACTGAACCGACTAGGCTATGCAGAGCGCGATGCATCGCTGCATGGATTATCACCCTTACATCTAGCCTCTGCCAGTGGATGCGTGGAATGTATCCGACTGTTGGTCGATGCGAATGCCCCCATCAACTCGGAGAGTATCCTCGCAGACCAGGACGTATCGTACGATGACGAGGCCAGGCAGGTCAAAGAGATGGGCAATTGCAGCTTGGAGTGCCTACTGACTGGCCTGTGCTGTTCCTTTGGGGGTGGGGGGAGTTCATGCTGAAGGGATGAATCGTGTTGTCGTTTCCACTCTAAGGCACTTTGCGTCCGCTGGACATTGCTTTGAGTCACTGCAAGCCGTGCGCACGGGAGCTTCTACGTGCAGGTGCAACTTTCGAGCATATTGTTGTGCCGGTGCACTGGAGCTGGGGCAACCCTCGCAAACACAACAACTTGTGGCCTTCCAGAATTACTTTTGGTTTCTGGGTTTCTGGACAGGTCCTAGGTCCTAGGTCTTAGGTCGAGTATTGGCACAGTGCCTGCTTCCTGATGAGGCAAGAATCTCTGGCTATGGTTCCGAATGCGACAGTTCGTGTTTGCCCGAACTGGTTTTTTTCAGAGGACCTGGCTCAGTCGATGCGGCTCCTGGCATCTCTTAAGTCCGTACACAGCATGGACAAGATTGAGAGATAGAGAGGGTCTGAGCTCTGTCTCACACATTCACGGGCCGCCTCTGAAAAAGGAGTCAGATTCTTTGATGCAAGTCACGAAAGTTTGGTTGCTCCTGTCGCAGGTTTCGACCGTGAGCGCTTCACCCGAGAGATGTGGCGCACGACCCTGTCCCGAGATCTTCCCAACGCGGCTCGTCTGCTAAAACATGCAGACGGGCAGTAGTCCCCAATCCTGCGGCGACGGTGTCACATCATTTTTCAGACTTGTGCAAAATCGCGTTGGGGTTTCCATCCGTGTTTGCAGATTACGAGAGTTGCAGACGGCGAGCTGCTTGCTGCTGTTATGTTCTTGGTTCGTCCCATCACAGGTGTCACTACTCATGTTATGGAGGAAGACAGCAGGATAACAGAAAATATCACGGAAAACACCGCATGCTGCAATAACTTGAGCAGCCAAGATTGGCATTACTGCTACCTCACATCGGTGCTTATGTTTGAGCCTGAAGAACTCAGCCCTAGACGCGTCTGTTGACATGTGGAGCCTGCCAATGTGCGGTGTGGTCATGACCTGTCGAACTGCGTCCTCGTCTTCCTGCATGTCTGCTGCCCAATCGCTGTGCGGCTGCACTTGGTATCGTGATTGCAACTTTTGAACGTCGCAGGCCGTGTGCAGCACTGCCGGTTGCAACGCCGGCACAGCGTTGCACACTCAGCATGTGCTGCATGTTCAACTGGGGCATGGCTACACTGCACTCCAGAACAACAGAAGCTAGCCATTCGGATATCATCTCTAGACTTGTGTCAAAAGACTACCGACTGGTGGCCTCAGCTGCTCAATGCTGTCCCCTGCATAGGACATCAGTGGGTCGGTAAAATGGATGTTTCGATGCCTTCCGGAACAATGTCTTGTTACGCATTCTCCCAAGCATTGTGGTCGCTTCTGTTGTCAGGTCTCCAGGTTAGCCTCGTGCACACCCTCAAGTGGACATTAGCTCTGCTGGTGTGCGTATGGGCCGTGCGGTCCTAAGTCCAGCAGCAGACACCATGTTAGAAATGCCAGTGCCGATGAAGTCTGAGGTTTGCCGACTGCGCCGGGCTCGTCAGTGACGGGCTTGGAAGCATCCTGATGCCGAGCTGGTACTGCAGTTTGTTCCTGGTGCCTGAAAGGCAGCCTCGGCGCAGGCTAAAGGGATTTCCTGTTCCAGAGGACTACCGAGCAGCCCCGCGCCCGGGTTCAAGAAGCAATTCTTTTGTAGCTTCTCAAGTCGGAGGCCGGTGTGATCTTCTACACCGTGGACGAGCCACAGAACATAGGTGGGAAGGTTTGTAAACAAATGCTACTGTGTGTCCGGCTCTTGTGGTGGCAGGACAGATGTTGCTTGCTGTGGAGGATCGAAAGGTCAGTTTGCGAGAGCTTGGCTGGGGCCCCTGAAACTTGTAACCGCTTTCTTCGCCACCGGTAATTAGGCATCTAGCATCTTCGAGCCAAAAGGAAGCATCATGACTGTTTGGTGGCGCTTCCGTGGGCCAACTGGTAACTTCTGGTTCCAAGGTGTTGGCTCGGGTTCCGGCCAGAAAAGGGCGATGGCCTTGGGTGGGGTTGACCGGGAGGCTGACAAGTCCTGCCGTGCCCTTGGCCCTTGAGCTGCTGCACTTCTGAGGTGCTGCTGTTTCCACAAGGGAAGCGCGAGCAAGAGGTCTGGGCTGGTGCACCATGCTCTTCAGTTTTGACAACGGCATTGCCGCTGCAGGATGCGGACTTCGTCGCAACGGCACGCCGAGAATTCATCGAGGAGCGGACTGTTCAAGAGATGTGAAGACATGCTAAAGCAAAGTTGTCACAGAAGATCATTGCGCATGGTCTGACACTGGCACGCATGCCCCTCGACAACATGGTATAAACTGCAAAAGCATCTTGACTCTTAAGGCCCAAGGCACCACATGAAGAGCCTGCTCCATGCTGGTGCAGGAAACAGGTGATCCCACAAGTCTTTCTGGGTATCTGGAAGGCCGATTTCGGTGGTCGGTGTCGATGCGCGAAGCAGCTGAAAGTGTACCGACTTCGATGCCGTGCATACATCACCGAGCTGCTCTGTAGCACAAGCTGCAAGCAGGGAACGTGCTGTCTACGTGGTTTCCAGCAGCGAAAATGGGCGTGGTATTTTGCGAGGCACAGAACCATGTTCACCAACAGCAATTCTGCACAACTCTGCAGAGCTCACCTCCGCAGGTTCCGGCGAGTGCAGCTGAGCCATTCAGCCAAAGAGCGCCATGGCGGCAGTGGCAAGACGGCCAGCATCATGCCATGCATCATTTGTGCGTTTGCACTCGCTTGCGAGAGAAAGGCACCTGCGCCACAGCCAGAACCACGCCCCAGGCGCCAGCAACCGCGACAGCAGGACCAGAAGCTCTTTAGTGCCAGCATGTTAGAGACTGGTAATGCCGACATTGCAGATGCTTTCTGCACAGGAAAAGCAGAGCCAGCAGAAGAAACCCTGGCCCTTGCAACCCGTCTGGGTCGATGCCGGGTTCTTTTCTGCAGTGTTGCTATGACGGTGACAATGCAGTGTTTGCTATCGCAGAGTGGAGCATGCAATCAGTGGTTCTCAAGGTTTGTAAACACGCCACAGACGGCCAAGGTTTCCTCGCTCCGCAGTGCTTTAAAATCGAGCACAGGCGGGACGTTGGTTTTTGAGTGTACCGGAAAGTTGCAGAGTAGATGAGCAGTCAAGGCCAAGTGGCAACGACTATCGGACTGTTCCACCTGTTTCCAGCTGCGGCCTCGGCCAACTTCATGCTCCTATATGCTCCTCCTATATTTGGACCTGCGCCCTTTGCTTTGACACTCAAGTTCAAGTCCATTTGCAAGACAGACAGTTGGATAGTCAAGGTGACCAGGAAATTCTTCCTGCTCGATGAGGTCAGTGACTGGCTTGGCATTTCACGTTCTCGCCGCAAGTGAATCGTATTGCCACTACACCTAGTGTTCACTCTTGGACCGCCCAGCGTCAGCCTAGCAACTCGAGAACTTCATCTGAATCTGAAGGACGCTTGTGCTTGTCGCGACTTCGCCACTTTCTAGAGTGACCTACTGTACAGAAAACGAGCGACAAAATGTTGTGCTCCCAGCATGAGGCTGCAGCGAGGTCCTGCATGGAGACGTTTGAGATTCTGTTTCGATCTGTTTCTTCAGCTTGGTTTTTGCCCGGATCGGGCATGTCCATATGCGACATGACTGCAAACAGCAAGACCGAGTCGACGACACGCAGTGCTATCGATTTCCGTGACGTCATCGCTCAGAAGAGCGAACTTGTTCGATTCTTGTGCGCCATGCTCTCCGTCTCGGTCTGGCAAGGCCGGCAAGGCTGGCAGAGTCCCAGACTTCAAAGAGCCGAAAGTCCAAGGGGCTCCGATTCCTTCGCCTGCAGGCCAGGGCCAGGGCCAGGGCCAGGTCGGCCTCTGTCGATCTGCCACGGCGGCGAAGGCCACGCTGGTTTCCCCGAGGTGCCGCTGCGAGAGCCGAAAGGAGCCGAACAAGATGCTGAAAGATGCTGAAAGCTTTGCGCAGCCTGAGAAGGGTCAAAGTTAGCGGGGCGAGCGTTCAGGCGAGGGCCGCTGTGTGGGGGAATCGAAAGCGTCGGCCTGGTCGCGAGCGCTGTCCTTCTCAGAGGCTTCCAGTGCGTCTCTTCCTCGGATTCTTCCCCCCAAATCCCATCGTGTTAAGGACGGAAGCACAGACTTGGAAGGACCGCAAGGGCTGCTTCTGCAGGCAGCTCCTTTTGCATATCCGAGCCTAGGTCCTAGGTTTGCTCGAGCCAGGTTCCTTATTTCTGCTTCCGGATGGGCGTGACATCCGTGTACTCACCAACGAGGGAGAAGTGAAACTCGCCGTCGCGGTCCGGAGCTTTGCTTTACCTCCTAGATTAACGAGAAGGGCATGGTTTTGAGATGCTCGTGCTGAGGCAGAAGTTGCCAGTTGTTCAAGTGCCCCAAGCTCGTGTGCTCAATGAAATGTTGCGACCGCTGCATTTCTGACATCTGCCGCAGCATTGCCGGCTCTTCAGTCAGTAGCGAGGAGGTGCTTGCAAGCCGAATGGGGATCTGCTGGGGCCAAGCTGCGCAGCCGGCCTCTGATTTGCACGGAATGATGTGACGGCCTGCCAAGGACTCAGAAGCCACTCATCACAGTCTCCTGCTTTCATCCTTCCTTCAACCATGAGCACATCTCTCTGTCACCACTTCATTGTCAACACTCCACACACTCGAAGCAAGCATCTAGAATGCGCTATCGAGTGATCGCCACGAGACCATGAGTGGTGACTCGAAGAAAGCTCACACTTACAGCATCTCGAGCGTGACCGCGATAACAACTAAACAATACTAAACAGAGGGAAAACCATGGGAGAATGACTCAGGTAAGCACAGCCCGGTGTGTTCCCTGCCAGGAGTGGCTGCGCGGCGACCAGCCGCAGCGTGGCAAAGACTTGGAGTTGAGGTTCGACGACGCAGTGGACAAACTCCGGGAGAAGCCGAAGCCCGCGCCCCCTCAGCGGTAGAGGTGTCAAGAATGCGTTGCAGAGCAAGACATGCACACCCGGGCAGCGAGACACGCAATACCGGTGCAGCAGTGCTGCGTGCACTGACGTGCACTGATGTGCACCGTGTGCAGATGCCGTGGCAGCTCAAGGCTCGAGGAGGCCGAGGAGGTGAATGATGCCACCGTTTGCCAAGCCATGGCGGCTGAGAATCTCCCGGCAGCGTGCCTGACTGCATGAAACAGCGGAAAACAGAGCCCGTGAGCTTGCGGCTTGGGTTGCCCGGCATGGTGGCTCTGGGTTCAACCTTTTGAGAGGTGCTGCAATCGCGGAGAAAGGTGCCTTCTCAATTTGCGTGCCTGGTAGCTTCGGACCAGCGGATGGGAAGGCAGCGGCAGTTCGATGAAATCACGGCTATTTATATTCCCGCAGACTTGCAGATGCTGAAAGCTCCTAAAGCTCCTAAAGCTCCTACATGTCCAAAGTTGCGTTGCCAGGAGCTTTCAGGTGCCCAGCTCATCGGAGAGTCAATCGCAACACTCTCCGGGGAAGGTGTGGATACTAGCGAAGCAGTGGGCCCCAAATTCTCTGTGCAGCTGACAGCTGACTTCGACAAGTGGCACGTCTTCTTTGCCGGCGAGAGATTGGACGGCCAGGCCAGGCATAGAGCACGAAAAAAGTGCTGAGAACATCAGGTCGAAAGGTTTTTGTCAAAAGCAGCCTGCACCAGTCGTCGTAGGAGTCCTTCCTGCTGGCGAAGAAGCTCTGGATAGACAGCTGTGGAATTCCGGAATCTCAGGCGGGAGCAACATCGCAGACTGGAGTCAATACGCCTTGAACACAAGACCCAAACAAGACTGCACAGTTGGGCCTGCAAGACTATGAGGCTAACGTAGAGGGACATTGTACGCATGAACCATGAGGTTGAAACAGCAGGCTGACACCGTGCGTTTTGTCTTATGGAACGTAGCGGAAAGTACTTACAGCATGGCGGCTAACGGTCGAACCTCGGCGACATCAGCCAAGTATACTGAAGCCCGGCTTCAGGCACGTCGCTGACAAAATTCACCTTTGCCCAACGTTTCCGATCGGGGGAGATGGAAAACCGGTGCAGCTTCACCCCCGAACTACCTCGGTATTTGATCATGGAGCCAAGCCACAGCTGCAAATTAAAATCGGAGTTCTATATGACCTGCAAGCACACAACACCAAGTCGCACACCTCACACAGCCCCCGAAGGACCACACCCAAACACGCCACCGTATCCCGCTCTTTGCCGCTTCGGTTCCCTACGGTTCGACCCACATCAGCTTGGTTCTGCAGGTTCATCCGGTTCCGCAGGGTATTCCTGCAGAGGGGGCTGCAGCTCAATACACGGCTACCGGACTGCAATGTCATGAATCTTTCGCTGCACGATTCACGATGTTGTGCTTCGGGCAAAGGCGGAAATTTGCATGCAGCCGAAAGCTCAGAACTAGCCGACATCCGTGCTTCGTACTTCGTTGATATGACATCTCAGGGATGAGACCATCCTGGTAGACAGCGATCAGGTGTCGATCTTATCCGCTTCCGCCGAGCTTGGTCCTCTCTGCGCTCGTCAGGGCCTCCCTGCGCTCGACCTGCTCCTTCTCGACATGGCCAAAGATGGTACCGTTGGGCGTTTGAAGCCAAACTCGTTGCGAACTCAGGCTCTGTAGTCGAAGCCTTCTCTAAAACTTAGGGCCCTAAAGGGGTCCGTTGCATCTGTTGACTATCCTTGCTACTGTAACGTTGACGGAGTGCGGTCTGCAACTTTCCTGGTTCATCGTGGTTCTGCTCTGACCGCGGCATGGTGGTGCCAGCCGTGCACTTGTACATTGGCATCGTACCTCGGACGTCAGTTGCTTGCCCTTGTCCCTCTCATCCCTGCAGTTCACGTGTACCGCTGAAGACTGCCTGCACCAGCTTGGCTCAAGAATAGTGGCTATCGATTTTTATTTGTGCGACAAATGCATTGCATGTAGCTTGGCTTTGCTGCCCAGTCGATGCACGATGCGGAGAGGCTGTGAAGATTGGGGGCGACCTGATCCAGTGGAAGATGGTGCTACAACCGTGGATGTGCGTGCAGTTTTCTCATTGAGAGGCTTGTGCTGCCAAACGCGGCGCGCACAGACTCGCAAGGGAAGTGCCCGATACATTTCAGTCTTGGCATCAGATGTGCGCCAAGCTCCAGAGACAGGTGCCAAGTCAGAATTGGAGGTTGCAGATTCGATAGGTTCGCCAGATCTGGATGGGGCGATTCCTGGAACCGGGGGTCCTGCTCCCACGGCTCCTACACAGTACTGGCGCAGGCGGCGCGGCGAGGGAGCTCCGGTGCCTCGTAGTCCAAATGCAGCCTCTGGAGTCTCAAAGTTGCAGAGTGCAAGGGCCTTGCTTGTCATTTCGATGCTGCTTCTTTTGCTTTGCTTGCGCTCCGACTTCCCGCACCCGCAAAGCTGGGCGGCCAGGGTATTTCTTCTGCCTTTGAAGGCAATCTCTAATGCCGAATACACTTTGGTCGTCTTGGCTCCTGCGATCTGCTGGATCACCCTTTTTATTTGGAGTCGGTTGGAGCTGCCAGAGCAGAATGGTGCAGCTGGCCAGCGCATTGCGCACATTCTTAGGACGAGCCTGTGGGTCAGCTTGGTCTTGGTGGCGCTCACAGCAAGTTTTGGTGGCGATTTTTCAGTGCGCCTTGTGGCGGCACTCATATATTTTCCTGCTGCAGCACTGTGGCTGGTGTACAGAAGTGAGTGGTGCAAAGGAAGCCGGAGGCTGATTAGCACATGGGTTGTGTTCTTGCCGTTCATCTTCGAGTACAAGTTGATGTACTGGTGGCTGCGCTTTGCTGGGCTGGAGCAAGCCAGCGATGCATACAGACCTTTGCACGAGAAGTATGCACCTCGAGTACTTCGATTGCTCGTGGAGCAGGGCGGCGTTTTTGTGAAGATCGGGCAGATGCTTTCCCTGCTTCCTGCAGGGGTTTTGCCCGAGGCCTTTACTAACCAGTTCAAAAGTCTCCAGAGCCGCGTCCCTCCACGGCCCGGCGCCGAAGTGAAGCGGCTGGTATCGGAAGCCCTGGGTCAGCCAATGAAGTCTGTCTTCAGTCGCTTCGACGAGGCCTTTCAACAAGGGATGTGGTGGACATGAACTCATGTCTGTTCTTCACAGAGAGTTCTTGCAATATCTTGGCAACCAAGGTTCCAATTGGGTCCGCAAGTATTGGGCAAGTGCACCGTGCCAGATTGGCAGACACCGGCAGAGAGGTTGTCGTGAAGGCAGAGCCCATAGACATCATCTTTCCCATGCCTCTCCGTTTTCATGTCAGTTTGGATGGTCAGGTGCAATATCCCGAGGTGTCCCAGACGATCGAGTCAGACTTCACCAACTGTGAGCGTGCTTCGCCAAGCAATCCTCAGTAATCTGAGGATGGGTCTCTGAGCTTCGCAGCGTGCCGTGCCTTCCGCAGGCATTGTGAGGATCCTCGACAAGACGAAGATGGAGCAGGTCCGTGAGACGCCTTTCAGCTGCAGTGGAGAGCTGAAGGAACCACGCGCAGGGGGGTTCCGATCCAGGAAAAAGCACTACATCGACGAGCTGGATTTCAACAAGGAGGCCCAAAACCTACTGCGCGTCAGGGCTGGCTTGTGCAAGCAGTTCCCTGAGGTGCAGACCTCAGCTGTTTCTCAATTTGTGAAGGGTTCAGTTCGAGAAACTCTGTGCACGTCATTGCGCAAAGGTGTGCGTTCCAGAGCCAGTGTTGGAATTCTGCAGACCTACGGTCCTTGTAATGACGTCTCTCAGATGCATGCGATGCCATGGTGCATAGGCTTTCTCAAGTTTACTCGAGCATGAATAGTACAATTCGACCACTGGCATCCTGAGGTACTTGACAGGCAGCTCGCTGCTGGACGGTATCATGGATATGGCACAGGCAGGCAGAGGGAATCCCTTGTGAGATTGAATGTCCATCACGTAGCTCCCCCGTCAGGCCATTGCCAAAATGCGAGGCAAGAGCGTTGAAGACCTGATTGCAGAGTGCAGTCAAAGCACATCACGCGACAAGAAGGACACGCTTTTGCTGGACCTTTGATGACCTTTACGATGCTATCTTTGAGCCCTAGACCCTACACCCTAAAACGTTTTCATATTCTACATAGGTCTCCCGATCTAAAACCATGGCGCTTGGCGGCGCTCCATCCAACAACCAAAACTATTTTCGAACAGGCGAGGTGGGACGAGGATGGCAGAAAGAGGGACAAAGATGTCAATACAAGTTCTGGTAGTTCCACCCTTGTTTCGCCTTTCGACCAAGAAAGGACGGATAAAGATTGCACCTGGGGAACGGACAAGAACGGTAGTGATAGACAGTGGTATATCAGGTATGAAGATCCTCTCGCCTTACGAAAACCAGGGAGAGACAGGAATGGTAGTGATGGGTAGTGTCGCCATTTAAGATCCGATGCCAAGGATCCCAAATCTTGGCCAACCCGCACCGTCACTGTCTTGTCCCCTCCCCGTTCGGAAACGACAGCGATCAGCAGGTCACAAGTGCTGCCGACATAAAGCCGAACCCCCGAAACCGGACCCTCAATCCTAAACCCCAAATCCCTAAACCCAAAGCCAAACGGTAACATCTACCTTAAATCCTTGAAACCGAAGGTACCTGTCATTTGTGAGACCTCAGTGTGAAGCAGGGAAGCCGGCTAGGTAGTCACAGATGACGGGTTGTCCTCGCAAAGACCATGGCAGAGGTACCACAAACATGCCGATGTCAGAAAAAGCCTGGCTAGGCTTACAGTACAGTACTATAGTATAGTATAGTATAGTATAGTATAGTATAGTATAGTACAGTACATTAAAGTATATTACAGTATAGTATAGTATATAGTATATAGTATAGGGCTTTCGGAGAAGTCGTAGGTGTTTCGAGTGTCAGAGCTTCGGGCCACGACTGCGAGGATGCCTCCGAAGCCTTGTCCAAGCAAGACTCCGGCCGCCTCGATCCGAAGGCCCTTGGACTTCTTTGCAGTTGAGGGCCGCATTTGCAGTGTTTGGGGTAGCCACACAACCTTTAAGCGCAGCGGGCAGTGCCTTTGTGGGGTCTTTTGTCCCTGCCAGCTAATCTAAGTGTGGGAAGTGAAAGCAGGGACCAATATTTCAAAACTGAGAATCCTCAGACGGTCTGCTGAACTTTTGTCTGTGTTGACCTGCATTGAGGAAAAGCGAAGATGGCGCGTCTCCCTGGTAAACAGGATGCCTTCAATGCTGCCGAGCATCTCAGATTCCACGAAGCTTAAGCTACTTCAGCTCTGCATGTCCACCTCCCGCTCTGCAAGAAATTTTGGTGTTGCGCTGTACAACTCCTCCGCTGGGTTACTGGGTGCCAACAAGCTGTCATACAGCAGAAATGTATGTCACTTCGACCCACAGGACATGAGCCAAAAGCTGTGGCTCGTGCATGGTCACCAGGTGTTGGTAGATGGACTCTTCAGCACCGATCCGCATCCAGGGAACATTTTGGTGGGTCCTGGTGGTGGAGTGGGCCTTATTGACTTTGGCCAGGTCTGTGAGTTGAAACTTCAAGCTCGCGTTCGTTTCGGGCGCCTTTTGCTGGCTCTTGCAAAAGGCTGCGATACAGCTATTGCCACTTCTTATCGTGAGCTGGGAATGCGAACACAGAGAGAGAAGGAGGGAACTGCGACTAACGAGGAACTCCTAGCCCTCAATGCACGTATCAGATTTGGTCATGCCTCGGTGCTAAGCCGCGAGACCTACGAGCGTTACCGCTGCCTTTGTGCAGACGATTCCGTGTTCTGCAGTGAGCCTGACGACAGCCTTGGCAGAATCGAACGATTGATCGCAATCCTTCGTGGAACAAGCTTTCTGCTTGGCATTCCAACAGCACATGGGCCCACAACACTTTGGGTGGACATGGCCGCGGAACTGGTCGAGGGTTCGCAAACATGTGCGCCCGACTCGCAGAGAGATGATGTTGGGCTCATCCAAGACACCTTGGTAAGCTGGGTTTGCTTTCACAGCGTGAAGCATCCAAGTGCATCCAAGCAATAGCAAGCTGATCCTTTCGCCTGAGGATATCGAGAGATGTGCTGGCGGAGATGATGTGGTTGCTTGCCAGCAGATAGTACAATCAGCCTGCCCTGTAAGGGACGGGAACCAAGGTGTGAAGTAAAGTGGCCAGTTATCGAGATGCAGCATGGGTGCGACCGTGCGCACCTCTTGGAGCACAGGCAGGAGTCCTATTGACCAAATTCCGGGTTGTCGGTACAGTGCTGTGAAAGAGTCCCAGCTGCCTCAGGAGCCATCTCACTCTGCTTCTCCGATGCATTCTTTTCAGCTTCACAGAGCAGTGAACCAAAGCCACTCCGCGAGAGCAGTGAGGCAGTCTCCGGTGTTGCCTCAGCACTTCTATAGAGTCTAGAGCAGGCTTGCATTCCGCGTCATGATGACTTCCTTGGAAGCCAACACAGACTGGCAAGCCTGTTGATACAGAGTCCTGCCGAAATCGGCGGAACAGTCCGAGCAGGTTAATTTTCAATCTGGCCTGAGGCCAAGCTGATACTTCCTGCACCAACGAACCGTGACCGTGTAGCTGTGGTAAGTCATGCTTTGGAATTGATGATGTTGATCTTCACACTTCCGGACTGCTGTCACCGTTCCGGGATCGAGCTTTGGCTGCAAAGTCTCGCCTGGCATCTTTTGAAAACGCCAGGCAGGACAGGCCCAGTTGGATAGACCCGTACTGACATGCTGGTGCAATGCGTGAAAAGCGTCGACTTCTTGCTGCTACGCCAGCGGTCGATGGGCTGCAGCCACACTGCAAGACTGAACTCAGGCCTGAGGTAGAAGAAGCAGGCTCTGGCAAGGCCCTTGTCTTGAGCCTACCTGCTCTCCTTGGTTGCATGGACACTTGGAAGCACAGGTGATTTTACCAGTTGAAGACGACGATGCAGAGGTGAGGCAAGTCCGTGCTTCGGCTTCTTGAGCACTTGCAGCCTACTGGCAGGCTGCCATCGCAGCTCCTGACTTCATGAATGCAGCACGGACGGCTGTCAGCTGCTCAGTCCAGGCTCCCGTTTTCGCGAGCGCTGAGATACGACAGACGACAGATGAGGTGATCGTGGCGACGGGTGCTGCGGCCGCTGCTTCGGTCAACAAAGCCCTTGACAGCGCCAGGCTCGACGTGCGGAGCCAAAGAGGAGATGCTCAAAGAAGCAGCGTTTGCAAACCCTTCAAGCTTTGGCAGCTCGGCCTGCCCGGCTAGTCTGATTCGGACGGACAAAACGTGAGCCCCCAAGTGTCTCTGGTGCCATTTCATTGCGGCTCTTCTGATTCCTTCGAGGATATGGCTGCTTGACGCCGAGAGCGCACAGGATGTGAGCGAGCCGTGAGAGATATGTTGCAGTATCGAAAAGAAGTTCCGGAGCTGATCTGAACCAAAACTTCTGTATCTCCTCGGTGGGGAGCACACGTCCATTGCTGACACTCTTGCAGGCTCTAGCATCAGGCTACATGACTCCCCGTGATCCTTGCAATGACTTGGATGCGTGTACTGCAAGCTCTAGTGGCCATTGCAGCATCGGCTTATGGCCCCGCCCCTGCAATCATCTGACACTTCCTATGAGCGCTTGATGTAATCTGTTCAGCTGAGGTGTTTCTATCACAATTGATCCTGCTGGCAGTGCACAACCACGAGAAGCTCAGCTTGTGCGTCCATTCCTCAGCTTGCATGTCCTCTACTGGTGCGCCGGAGTAGCAAAGAGCGGAGGCAAAGACGTGAGACCGAAGCCGCACACCTGCGATGACAAGACAGCCTGCGGAGGCTGTCAGGGGTTAGAGCAGTCGGCCTGCGAGTGTCTTGGACACACTTAGTGTAGGCATCCAAAACTAGAACATGCCCGACACGTTGCGATCGCTAAATCCAGCAGTAGCTTGAAACATTCGCCCAGGACTGCTTGCTGGATTGATCAGGGACAGAACCGCCAATGTGTCTGGAGCACCCTGCTCCTGTGTACAAATCAGACTGATGGGGCCTTGTGCTGAGCAAAGGCAGCATTGCCTGCAGGAGCCCCAGGTATTTTCACAGAAGTTGCCTCGGCCGAACTTCACGAACCACTCGCATGTGGCCATGGATGCGCAATTAGAAGCTCCCACAGACGGGGAGATAAGTGATGATCGGCCCACGGCATTCTTTCGGTCTGCACCGCTCTGCACCGGTCTGCATGCTTTCGCCGACATTGGTCCAGCAGAGTGTCGGCAGCTGACGCTGCTTGGTCCAGATCGCCGCCATCGCCCTGGCTGAAGTGGCAGAAATAGAGCTCCGCCAGCGCGAAGCCAGCTCGAGGCGAAAAGCCCAAGTCTTGACTTGACAGCTTCTTGGGGCAGTGACTGATGTCCGCGAGCTGACGCGCCCTTTGGCTCGAAAGGAGAGGGCCAGAAGTCAGAAAAGACTTACCATCTCGCCCAAGGCGCTCCGGCTTTTGTGCCCTCGCCGTTGGGACGAATGGGACGAGTAATCACTTTCGAGGGACTGGGAGCTGCTTCTGACCTGAGTTCAATTGGTTTTCCCAAGATCCTAAGCTTAGCAGGGCTTGACTTGGAAACTCCAAGGCAGCTCATGATCAATTTGTTTGTGCAGTTTGCTTCGGCCTGGCCACGTACGCAACAGTGCTTTCATGGCATTGGGAAATACGGGTTTTTTCCTGAGAAAAAGTTTACTTGGAAAGGTGGAATCATCCTGCAGTCCTGCAGTGACCATGTCGAGTTTTCTCGACAATTCCTATTGGAACCGGGGCCAAATCATGTTGCGCTACCCTGAGCAGTGACCCGGTAGCCGTGCAGACTCGAGGCAGGACCCTAGGCCCCAAGCCTTGGTGAGACACTTACCTCTTAAACCTTATATGTCATGTCACACATACAGACATGCATACGTACATATTACATACATACATACATACATACATACATACATACATACATACATACATATATATATATATGTATAGGTTATAATTAGTTGGTCGCACCCCCCCCCCCCCCATGATCCACCCCAGCCTTCCAGCCATCTGTTCGTCCACAGATTCTCCGAGGTTCAGAAACCATCGGTATTTATGGGGGTTTCTGCACTTCAAACGTACTGACCTCTACTTATTGTGCTTGTTGGT